AGTATTATATGAAACAATTTCACAAGATTAAACAATTTCATGAAAAAATTTCATAAGATTAAACAATGAAATCGACAGATGAAGGTGGTTTGCACGGTTTACACAAATGAGGGCGGTTTTCATATGATTACTCATATATATATATATATATATATATATATATATATATGTGTGTGTGTGTGTGTGTGTGTGTGATGAGCGTATGTGATATGTAATTGTGTAATGTATATATTAATATAAACTCAACAATCATATTAAATCTAATAAATAAAAGGATATTGGGTTCATCGGTTTGAGTTCAAATAATAGTAACTCAAAACCTACATTTTGAAAATTTTACAACTCGATTAAACATCCGGTTGCTTTGGGTTGAATTACTTCACGTTGGATTGGGTTAGATTGATCGCGTTTTTGAGCACCCCTAGACGTTAATGTTCAAAGATAGTGTGGGGCGGAGAAAAACGGGTTGAGAAAGCGAGGTTTAGTAGTAATAGTGAGGGTGAGCTCCGGTAAGGGTGGGTTTGCAGAAATGGAATTAAGTTGCTCAAATTTCCTTCCCTAACAATAAAAATAGAAAAAGAGGAAAAAACGCATCATGATTTTTTTTTCTTGTCATCCAACGTAATATAACTTGCAAATTGTTGAAACCCAATTTGATATGGTTTTTGTTCTTTGTTTTTAGGACGTGTTCATCGGGGGATATGTGTACCTCGTTATAGCTTTTTATCACATGTGATAAGGGTGTTCTCGTAAAATAAAGTGTTCTCGCTTGAACTTTCACACACACACACACACACACATATATATATATATATATATATATATATATATAATTTTTAACAAAAAATTAGTTGAGAAGTATAAACTAATTTTCATCAAAATTAACCAGAGGGACGGAAAGCGAAACGAACTATAAACTACAATGATAGAAAACACAAATTTTAAAAAAGAGGGATGAAAATGGTTATAAATAACAAACTACAAGGACTAAGAACGTAGTTTATTTTCCGGAGGGGCGATGACGTTGAGTCCGGTTATAAGGCATGTGCGAGCCGTACAGTTAACTGAAGGGAGAAGGTCAGCAGTGGGACCTACCTCCTTGTTGACGATGTTGACGTGTCCATCTATCATTAACATGATAGAGTTTAGATATTGCTGTCATTTGGGTCCCATCATTTTTTTATGTTTTTTTTTATTAACCTGGATATCCAACCCGTTATGCGAGCCGACTAATTTCAAGATGACCACTTGTTTCGTAGATATCCCGGAGTCATCGCATTTAAATCTCCGTGACCACAAAGGGATTTTTTTTCCTTCGTCGATAAAAGTAACTTTTACCAGCAACGTAGACGAAAACCTTCGACAAAAGTTTAACTTTTTGCCGAAGAAATTGTTTTAACAAATTGTACTTATGCACTACCAATAAGTACCTATATTTTAAGATTTTTACATTATTTAGGACCCAACGCAACCCAATAAAACGTAACAACGACTCAATATGACTTGTTACCACCTAATACGACTTATATTACAACCTAATAGACTCGCAAGGAGACTTTACTACCCAATAAGATGCATTATTACCTATTACAAACTGATATCATCCAATATGACTCGTTACGAACCAAGATGACCAAATATGATCCATTACCCATTACAACCAAGTATCATCCAATATGACTCGTTATAAACCAGGATGACCAAATAAGGCCCCTTACTACCTAATATGATACATTACAACCAACAAAACCAAATACAACCCAAGAACCCAATATTACCTATGTTACGCATTACAATGTATATAGGACCCCCAGTACGATCCATTACAACCCATTACGACTTATTACGACCAAGCTATCATCCAATATGATTCAGTGATACAACCTAATCCAAACCAAAATTAATAACAACCCAATCCAATATGACTTGTTATTGTTCAATATGACCAATTATAACCCAATACGAGATATTACTACACATGACAACCAGCCGATGTGATACGTTACCACCCAATACAACCAACATAACCCAATATGGTCCAATTATAACTCAACCTTATCCAATATGTCACTACGCGACTCATCATAATTGGTGATTGAGCATATTTTAAGAATTGGAATACTCGGTAAAATTGTGAAATTAAATTATAAAATTACCATGTTTTTTTATAATTTATTTAATTCAAACTTTTATTTTAATCTAAATATTTGAAATTTAGAAATATATATATATATATATATATATAAAGATGAATGCGTTTTATAAAAAAACAACATTTTATAATAATCTTTGGATATTAGTGTTGCTTTGCCTTGGGCGTTGGAGTAGCGTAAGACACGCAGAAGAGAGCGTAAGACGTGCAGCCGGACCAGTCCATAAGAAAGCTGATATTCCAAAAATTATTAGAAAAATTTTGTTTTCTTAAAAGAA